TTTTCTCATTTTTGATACTCGATTTGTTTAACAAAACTTAATTTGGATAAGATATTTTGTATTAATTTCTCCAGAAAACATGATAACAAATTGATGAATTAAATATTCTCATAATTCACTGGCTTTTCTTTTATGTTGACTTTTCTTTTTTGCTACTATTTGGTTAGGTACAGGCAATTCCAACGGAAGAAGATCAAGCTGATCAGCAAGAGAACACAACTCAGCCATCTGAGACTACTGGGTTTCCCATGATGCCGGCTGCTTTTCCCATGGCTTTTAATCCGTTAATTCCTCCTGTTCTGGTTGAGGATCTGACTAAAAATCTCACTGTAGCACAGGCGAATCAGTCAAATACCAAAGTTGCAACACCAAACCTCATCCGTCCGGTTCCTAGTTTCCCAGCTCTTCAGAGATATGATCTCAACACAAACCCAGTTTCCGATCCATTATCATTGTCACTCGAGCTTTCTTTGCAATCTGATCAAACAGATTCATCATCTCCAGCTTCAAGGCATGCCCCATTTCAGGTGATATCAAACTTTAGCAATGGAGATAACAATAACATCATCAGAGTTGCGTAAGAATTGACATCAGATTATAATAAGCAAAGCCAGCAAAGCTTATTATTAGAGCTTAAATTGCGGCTTAGGGGATAAAACATAAGGTAAAAATTAGGTTTCTGGTTTTCGTTTCTCTTTGTTTTTGATGTAAAGACGAAAAACAGAACAAAACTATCATGTCTATTGTCGTAGTTATTTTCTGCTGCTACTTGTGTTAGATTCTTGTTCATTTAATTTTCAATCTGCTAGTTGATCTTGCAAAAATCTTGGTGGGTCTACTTGGATGTTTCTTGTGGTTTCCATGGCTTGATGTCGGATAATGAAAAGGAAGAAAATATCAACGTGGACTAGTGGTAGAGATGCAATAATTTTTGTTAGATGAGAAAACTTTTTTTTTGTCTTGATGCATGAAACAGACATGTTTTTCTTTTGGATTTTATTGTATTAATAAAGATTGGGGAAGGTTGTGGGGATCTTGTGGATAATGAGGTGGATTTTTCGCATCCGAGGATTTGAAGGCAGAAATGGGTGGCGGTCCTATATTGTCTGATTTTGTACCTTGGGATCCCTAAGATCATAAGGAGCAAAGGGGTTTTTATTTCTATGGCTCAAGACTGTAGTCTATTGATTTGGTTAGATTTGATGATGACCCTTCTTACTTGCTGCTATATTAACAAATCGGACTGTACATCAGCAGTTGAATTTGTCGCCAGCAGCTATCGAAGACTTTGTCGAAATCGTTACCGCTGACGCGATTTTAGGACAAAATGATCGTAGACCAAATGCAGCCAAAAAAAATCAGATAGAGATTAAATTGAATGAAAAACGAACCGTGTGTAAAAAAAGAAACACATGCGAACATGAACCATGTCGAGCGACAGCGATAAACTTTTCAAATGTTTAAATAATTATTTTTACCGAGTGAGTAAAGTCATGATCTTCACATGTTTGTGGTTGCTGTCACATCTTTATCTATGTTACAAAATATGGGACTTTGATGCACGCACCTTTTGAAAAACAAGGGTCAATGATAGGAGTTAGGGCTCCATGTTGCTTAATCTGCCACTTTGATACTCGTATGATTAACATGGTAATTATTAGCCCAAAGAAACTTATAATTAAAGAGATTCCCATTGTCCCCTTCACCCTATATTTTATTCATTTATCCTATTTTTATTTATTTTGGTTTGTTGAAAAAATTAAGACTAATTCCATGAACCAGTTTGATCATGAACTTAAAGTCTAAGATTCGGTACGATGTTATATACAAATTCCAAGGGCGAATTTAGGGGGGAAAAACAGTGAGACGATATTTTTTTTTTAGAGTTTAAATTTTAGTGATATGAATAAACATAAATAAAATTAAAAGTATAATAAATTTTTACAATATGATTGAATTTTATGTTGCCTTTTTAATTGATTTTTATCTTGTTATCTTATTTACCTATCTTTATTTTGAACTTTTAGGTCAGTTCTATCATATATTCGATTTTTTCGAATCGTTTAATTATTTTTTTAATATTTTCACATATGAATATATTTTTATTATTTAATGATCACTTTGTGTCTGTGTGTTGTCGTTTTTTTTATTAATCTAAGAGGATTAAAAGTGATAGTATTTATTCTAAATATAACTTTAAATCATTTGACCATAAGCGATTAAATATCCACAATTAGTTGAACTAGTGGTATGAGACACTAGTTCTCTTAAGTAAGGTTAGGGGTTCGAATCCTGACATTTGCGAAAGGAGCAAACTAGGTTGGAGGGTTGCCCTTGCCTTTATAGTACCTGATTAGGATTAGTCGATTAATAGATCGGATACCAAATTTGATTAATTCAAAAAAATATCCTGCAATTGTTAGTATTCGAATTTGGAACATCTAGCGATAATAACCTCCTTTAACCATTAAAGTAGCTTGGTTCGAGAGATTATTTTAATATAAAAATAATTTTATTATTTATGGAAGAAGCAAGGCTGCTGCCTACTCTGTCGAGAATCAAAGCTTAGTTAAACTAATATGAAACCGATCTAGTTTTCTTGACCTTAGTTTCTTGTTCACCAACCTTATTAATGTAGAATATGAATATTTTGATTTAATTAAGAAATGGGGATTGAAGAAACATTTGATTAGTAGACACAATCAGAAATGCTTTTAATTAAGCACTTTCTTTAATCACTTATTCGAAAGATTAATTAGTTTATATTATCTTACGTGGCATCTTAACAATATATACATATCTATTCATTAAAAAAACAACGTTATTGATATTATTTCTAGATATTCCGGGTTTAAGCAACAGCAACTGTCGAATATTTAAGTCTTTAGAATAGATACTACTATTTATAGTCACCTTAGATTATTCAAAAACGCAACCCAAAAGTAAAATTTTTCATCCGCTACTCAACATTAATAAACACTAATCAACGGTTAATTGACGATCAATGGTTGATCATCTTAATGACAGATACGAAAACACAAGAAACTGAAATTCAACACACACACATATGTATATGAAGATATGGCTACTGCTTTCTTCTTAATGGTGTGGGAGGAGGTGGCAGTATATAGGGTGAAAGCTTTGCTGCTTCATGCAAATTGCTTCGTTTCTTCTCATGTACTTTCTTTATATATGCAGCGAATTTGCCATCACCATCGTCTCGTTTTCCTTCGCGAACCACCAGCGATTCGTTCCCTCCGTTTGCCGGATGCATCACGAACGAATAAGGCTTCGACCTACTCTGCAACTTCTCCGACATCCCGGAAGCTCGAGGCGCCCGTGGCATCGGTCCGTCAACGAACGTATTTGAATCCATTATGGACGTGGGACTTTTGGCCGCTGTTGGATGTCCAGTGGCTTCGCCAAGACCCATTTTGGCGATCGAAAACGACGAGAGTTTAATGATGTTCACCACCACTTTCATCGATTTCTCACAAAGGGACTTGTTTTCGTTTCTTTCCTCGACCATCTTTTCCAGTACTCGTAAATACGGTCGGAGATGTTTAAAGATGAAGTATAATAAACTGTGTATATATAAGCCTTAACGTAACGTGTTTTCCAAGCAATTTGAGAGAATTTATCATTAGATCCGTTACGTGGGTTCATTTAACTCTAGGTTTTAGCCACGAAAACATTAATTTTCTCGGTGGGATTCTTTGGCTATATTTCCACGACAGCAAGTCCTTTTCTATAGGCCCTTTGAGTAGGGTAACTATGGTCCCATCCTTATCCAATGAAGCACACACAAGTTGGAATCTTGTTAGAAACGATACTACAACCGCTAGAGTCGATAACCCAAATTTTGCTCGACTTGATTTAAAAAGTTGGCATTACGACCATCTTAGTGGAAGCTCTTATGATATAAACCTTGTGGAACACTCAGTGGGTACAAGAACATACTTGTTTTATCATGATCTGATTAGAAATAGAAAATCGTAAATCCATTTAAAGATGCTGTTTGTTGAGAATCAAGGTGTGAGGATAAGCAGCATCTCTGTGTTTGTTTTATGTAAAATTGTAAAGTGATGGAATGAGATTCGCTGCTTTCAACTTTACCTTGTATAAGGAATTTGAAGGCAGAATCTGATCTCTCTCTCTCTCACTCATGGACAATAAATAAACTAATTAGAGTCTAGCGCCCCATGTTTAGGGTACAATTGCTTTTTAAACCCCTCTGAAATTAAGTTTTGGCATACTATTCTTTTAATTTAAATATTTTTCAATTTTAATATTAAACAAATTTGATCCTCGCCCTAGCAGTTTTAAAAGTAGTCAAATTAAACCCACACCTCAAAATTTCCTCGTTTAATCTCTTTCAATTTTAATATTAAACTAATTAAGCCTTATTTTAAATACTTGATAAGTCCTTATAAATCTCGAAGCTCAACAATTTAATCCCATATATTTTGTCACGAATCCTTTTGGAAAAGAATTTAGAGAAAACCCATACGATGATATATATTTATATACAAATTAACTTATAACCCATAAATAAATATCCACGTAGACAACATTGCCTTCTTTAGCATGAATTGATGATTCTAATAAATTGGTAAATTGGCGGCCTTGAATTAAGCTAAGTTGGGATCTTATATTTGAAACAACCTCAAAAACATCGGTTGGGAAGTGCATGAGAAGCCCCATTTTGAGGTCCAAAGTTGTCTTAAGGAACTCGGTTTGTCTCATTAAGCATTACCATTCTGTTATTTACAGTCAAAGAAACTTCACCACCCCAAATTTTGATCCCTTTAATCTAAAAAATTAACCTTAATTCTCTTCCTCTTTCCTCGTACACAACAAAAGGAGAGATGTCATCATGTCGGTCTGCTTTAAGCCAACCCTCTCATGATCTCCCCACAAGACGGAAGGGCTAAATCTGATCATCTTTACAGTATTAAATATATAAATATACATACATATATATATATATATATATATATATGGGCAGACGATCGTTTAAGCAATTAGTGGAACAAGAACTCGGGGGTGTCCCCAAGTTCTTCATTTACGCAGTTCTCGAATGGGTGATGATCTTCATGTTGTTCATAGGCGGGTTCGTTGCGTTTCTCGCGTACGAATTCGCCCGGTTCTTTGAGTTGCCAATCCCATGTTTGCTTTGCGCGAGGCTCGACCTGCTCGGGACGACTGACGACCTGCGTTACAACGAATCGATATGCGACAACCACAAGAAGAGCGTGTCGTGTCTCGCCTTCTGTCATGTCCACAAGAGGCTTTCCGACATCCGGAACTTGTGCGAGAGCTGCCTCCTGTCGTTCGCGACAGAGAGGGAAACCGATTGCGATAGGTACAAATCTCTAGTGGGGATTTTACACAAGGATGTCGGTCAGTTGTTGGTCGACGAAGACAACGAAGTACAGCACTCGTTGCCTGCTGCCGGTGCTAAGAAAGATGAAAGACCGGCGAGTTTTGAGAAGAGCAATGAGCATCGTTGTACCTGCTGTGGGCATCCATTGAAGGTGGAATCCACCGATTCCAAGGGCAGAAATTCTCCCCTGTCTTCCCTTGCTCTGTCTCCGTCGGCCGATCATTTTTCGCCGGAGAACAATGATCGCTCAAGGGGATTAACCCTTGATAAGCCACGTGAGTTTACACTTCCAATATATACGTAGATGTTTTGTTTCACTTTCCATTTGTTGTTTTTATATGTTGGTCGTACAATATCTATCATCCAAAATATATAGGCTTAATTGTGGTTTTAGACCTTCTATTATGTTAAAGTTTAGAATTTAATCATTTCTCTTTATTTTGAATAATATGATCATATTATGTTTAAAATATGTAGTTTAATTTTGGTGTACTGATAACACTAAAAAATAGAGATTTCAAACCATGTAGATTATGAAGTAGGTATATGTAATTTCAGAATAGTTAAGATACTAAACCATAATTATACCATTTCAAGAATATTATATTTATATGCTTTGGTGATGAATGTTTATAACAGTGAAGGAAGATGGCAAGGGTGGTACAATGCCAATGGTTCCGGAGGGTGATGAAGAAGACAAGACCCCCACCTTTACGAAGAGCAACAAGTTCTTCGGCATCCCCTTATCGGATTCCTCCGCTGACAGTCCCCAGTGGGCCAAAACTCCGAGGAAGATACTGCTTCACACATCGGAGTTCGCCGCCGATTGTAACGACGAAGTCCATATCCCCAGCAGTCCCCACATGGGCCGGAAGTCATTGATGGCATTGTACATGGAACTCGACGAAGAACGCAACGCCTCCGCCGTGGCAGCCTACAACGCGATGGCGATGATCACCAGGTTACAAGCAGAGAAAGCGGCGGTTCAAATGGAGGCATTGCAGTACCAGAGAATGATGGAAGAACAAGCCGAGTACGACCAAGAAACACTGGAAGAGATGACCAATCTGGTGGCCAAAAGAGAGGAGGAACTCAATGACTTGGAAATTGAACTCGAGGTTTACAGGGCCAAATACGGACGTCTACAGGAAAGTGATTTCGAAAAGCATGAACAAAGAGACGAGAACGACGAAGTAAACATCACCACGAACAACAAAGGCGATGACAACGACAATAACCGGGAAGTGAAAACGTCAACGCTTTCGTCCTCCAATGGCGACAAACCCGAAACTGCACTCATTACTGCTACTAGGAAAAACTGGACGACTCAGCAAGATCATCAGTCTGAGTCAAATTCCAGTAATCCAAACAAGGTGGAAACTGCAGAAGCAGCAGCCATGGACAAAACCAAGAAAGTGGGAACTGATTCAGATCTGACGGTGGAGAAGACGGGAGGGGAAGCCACAGCCAAATCCAAGAAAGCAATGCGTCAAATGGATCGGATGAAAATTCTAGAGAAGAAAATGCACATTTCAACAATGGGAAGGTTTCAGAGGCAAAATAGTGAGATTGGCGAAGACTTTGAAGAATAGATATTTCGTGTTCAAAGCAGGGACGGAATTGAGGTTAGATAGTGGGAGTAGTTAAATTGTTTAATTTTTAAAAATTAATAGGGCCCTAAAGAATATTTAATCATAAAATGTAGACGATTAGGGCTTAATTGAACACAATTAAACTATCATGGACCAAAATTACTATTAGACAAAAAATTTATAGGGTCAAAGCTACTCCCAATCCTTTAGTAATTCCTTCACCGGTTTTAAGTACTCTATATTTGTACAAATTTTGATTCGTTGGTGACCCATATAATGTAGATTTAAAATATACTTATAATCATTATGTTTATTATCACAATTTATTATTGCATTGGAGGTACTATCTATGAGTAAAGAAGAGGGGTTTTTAAAATAATAATAATAATAATCTCAAAATTAATTGTCAATCAGAATTAAAATATTATTTATTAATGTTATATTATGAACTTAATCGATAATAAAAGAGAGGAATTAAACTTATTAATTAAATTTAATGTGATTATCGGTAACAATTTTTGAATTAACAACTGGTATTCAATTTATTGATTGATTAAACCATATCGAGTTTTGCAGAGACCTATTATGGGGGCGACCATTCCAACTCAATTTGCTCTGTAAGCAATCGTCACTAAAATTGGGTATAAATTATTAAGAGACCATCCCTTCCTAATAGGGAAAAAACTAAGGGTAAAAAATCTCATTAGTCATTAAACCATCCCTTTCCAATCAATTTATAAATATAAAGTTAAATTTGTTGAATTATTCAAAATTAGGATGAAATTGATAAAATTTTAAGTGTTGAGGACCAAAAACATAAATGTGGATGGTCAAGTTGGTAGAATTTGCAAACGTTGGCTAAATTTGTTGAATAATTTAAAATCAAAATTAAATCGATAGAATTTACAAATACGAGTGCTGTTTTTTTATAATCATTTAGAATATAACCAAATTGAAAAAACTTACAAATGTCAAGGCTAAATATGTTGAATTGTTTATAATCAAGATGAACGTGTTGATGACTAAACAGGGGGCCAATTGGAGAAAATTTATAAATACAAGGAAAAAGTTATTAGAATTTGAACCGGGATTAAATGTGTAACTATATCAATTACAAAACTAACACATCAGCTCATCCATCATCCATTTAACGATGGGGCATTCGTGATAAAATTATTAGCTTGATGACCAAACAGAATATCCCTAATAATTTGGTGACTAATGGGGTAGTTTTAAAAAAATCCTCTATCTCTAAAAGGTTGAAAAGAGGAAATGGCATTCACCAAGGACCTGACTGACATTTGCAATTCAAAATGGAGCTACGTTATTCAGTTAGAAGTCCAACAATAATAAGTTTGGGAAATTAAGAAACATCTCTCACATATAATCACCCCATACGAAAAAGTAAATGGAACATGCAACTTTAATCACCCCATATGACTCGAACTCGATCTCGAAACACAGGAAAAAGAACAATTGAAGGAAAGAAGAAGAGAATAAAAGACTGTTATTCTACAAATGAACCTATAGACTCGTGAATGCAACAGCAGAGCCACCAAAAGAACAGAGAAAACAATGGTTTCTTTTGTCTTTCCCTCAACTAGATGCCAGAATTCTCTGATTTTTGTAAGACACATCTACAAAAACATAACAGGAAATATGAAATTTTGGCTACGAGACATTATAAAAAATAATCGGGCGTTCTACGTGCGGTGTCCGGTTCAATCTGACGAGGAGCCGGGTCGAACTGAAGAAAATTTTGCTCCATATTCTCCCCGATCTCGAGTATTGCGGCCATATTTCCACAACGGTAGCAGTAATTTGGTGCACTGAACACCGTTACCACATTCTTGTCCTGCAATAATAATCATACAGAGATCAATATGCACAATCTGTGTGAATAAATTATTCAAAATATGATCCACAAACCTGGGACCAATTATAGCCTTCCATTACAAGCTGGTGAGCTCTAGAAATCAGAGTGAGCCCATTTGTGTGGTTGAACTGCCCAGAAATATCCTGTCCGAAGGTATACCCGGCTCCCCGAGGAGATATTCCCCATCCACATCGGTCATCAGGATCAGACCATAACAGATCACACATTGGACCCTCATGAGGAACCTACACAGCCAATAAATGTGAAAATAGTACAACTAAGAAACCAGTGAACAAGAGATCAACACTCATTAGTCTCTTTAGGAACGACAATAACAAAGACGCACAACAATCCAGGAGATCATTCATGTTGTATGAGTGATCGTATCATCAGTAAGTGAGTCATGCAAATCACATGATACTCTTAACAGTCTAAACCACATCCTATTCACAAAAGATAGTATCCATTATGAACTCTAGTATGGGGTATTTAAATTGAATCCAATACAAGGTTTCCAAAAGGTTCTATGGCACACACTATTGTTTTTGACAAGGTAGACAATATACTCTCAAACTAAAAACATTTAACTCGAAAGCATATAATATAACTAGAAGTTTACCTCCTGTATGCGGTCCAGAGCACGGATGTTATCTAATGTATCCAAAGATGGTGAGAGTCCACCATGCAAGCAGAAAATCTGCAAGGAATATGAAGAGTTATCAGCTCACAGATGAGATTTGGTAATAACCAACATGACAGTGTAAGAGAATTCAAACCTGACTTTCAATCAGGGCAGTCAAAGGTAAATAATCGAAAAGGTCAGTGAAATGCTTCCAGACATTAGCATTTCCATATTTTCTCAAGCATTCATCATAAAAGCCATACCTGAAAAGAGCAGTGTTTGGTTATTGATATGAACATAGAATGATTTAGCAAAATCACTAAATAACTTCACACCTGAATACTATTATATTTGAATGATGTCACGTTAGTTTAAGTAGTAAGTGTTGCAGGTTTAACAAGACACAGCAGTTTGCCTTAACAGAAGCTACAGTGAAATAGTAAAGTAAACTTTTTTTTTTGGTAGAAGTTGGAGGTCTCATTAAAAACTCCATTCGTATTCGTCCACATACTAAGAAGTATGTTAACGAACATTGGAAGGAAGAAAAGAGTACCTCATATTTCATCGAATAAAACACCCATTACATATGAAAACATGAATTACCCTCAAACGGGGATAAACACCATTACAAAAAACATAATCACCTAAAACTCTCGCCTTCTCGACCACAAAGATCTAGAGGCAATCACCCTATACCTAAGATAAAACTGTAAGTCTTACAGGTTTAACAAGACACAGCAGTTTGCCTTAACAGAAGTTACAGTGAAATAGTCAAGTAAACTCCTTGAAGAAAAACTTCAGAATAAATTTGTCAATTTTCATTTTAATGACAAACATATGACGTCTAAGAAATTTATTTAGTTGGCAAAAATCAAAAGTACTGGTGCAGTTTCAAAATGAAAAGGGGGTAACACTAATATCTATATCGCACACTTGAGTTATCTGGCGGCTCTCATGATTTCCCCTTAAAATAGTTATTCTATCTCTATAACGAACTTTCAGTGCAACTAGAAGAGTGACAGTCTCCACGGAATAATATCCTCGATCTGCATATAACAGGAAAAACACAAATCAGGACTGATTGGCAAATCAACTACTACAGATACATCACCATGTATGATTTGTTGCAATGCTAAGAAAGAAAAAGGCCAGAATAGACCTTATCAGAGAAAAAAAAAACAGTAAACCATCACCACTAGATTGTTCATAAAGCCCAATTGAATGATCATCCATTATCTTTCTTCAAACCCCGGTTCTACTGACAACCTTGCCATTATGTGTAATGATCACTGCCTAGTGCTTCAAATAGATTTCGGAAAACCTGGATAGTTCTAGCTGAAGGGTAAATTTGTTCCATTTGTGGCTCAAATTTAATGTATGACAATAACTTGAGAAGATCACATATGAAGACAAACAAGAAACAACATTAGGATCAACCCCGCATTGAACTCTCAGAAATGTACTCAGATAGTTAGAAATTTAACCATGATGTTCAGGCTATATAAGGAAACAATCCTAAAAAGTTTACATATTTCAACTTCAACAGCTCTAACTTAACCTAGACAAACGTTTCTATTTCAGCTCGTTAGATGATAAATACAGTTTACTCCCAAAAAAATCCCATATTAAAAACTAGAGCTTCACCTTGTACAAACAAACAAAACCAATTTCCATTTTACAACCACGAAAAAACTTAAAGGGCATGGTTTCCTTTCCCAAATCTTTCTTTCAACTTTTCTGTTTTCAATAAAAAAATATTTATAGTCTAAAGCCATCAATCCCGAAATATTAAAAAAAACGAATCAATAAATCTTACAGAAATTATATAATTAAAACTGAAAACAATTTAATAAAAACTTAAATGAAAAATTAAGAAATGGCAATTAAACGCAAGGAAAAGCGAACCTACCTACGTAGTCGCCCATAAAGAGATAATTAGTGTCCGGAGCGTTGCCGCCGATGCGGAACAGTTCGAGCAGATCGTGGAATTGGCCGTGAACATCGCCGCAGACGGTGACGGGACACTTCACCGGCTGAACATTCCACTCCTCCACGAGGATCGCACGCGCCTGCTCGCACAGAGTCTTCACCTCCGCCTCCGGTAGCGGCTTGCACTGCATTAAGTGGTCGATCTGACGATCCAGATCCCCGTGGGACGGCATTGTCTAGCAATTGAGAGCTTCGGTGCTGATTTTCCTTTTTCCTTCTATTCTGTGATGGGGGTTCGAACAGACGGGAGAGGATGAAGATTGGGATTTTGGGGATTCTGGATCAGGTCATGGTTAGGTTTTGGGGGGAGATTAAATCTGTGAAGCTACCATTATCTTTGTTTACCGGATAATTATTATAATTTGCGTTTGTAAGCCCCCGAAATTTCCTTCATTTATGAATTTCATCCTTTACATTGCAACAATTGTAAAGCGGCGCTTTAAATGCCATTTTTCAACTTTCAAAAGATATAATGTCAAAGTTCACCCTTAATATTTGATAAATACTTGGTAAAGATGATATTTGGCCAAAAATAATATTGCCGCTAAAGATGGTTCTTTCTTAATGGGAATCACTCCAAACCAAACATGATGCTTTTCCATAATTGATTATCGTTCTGATGTTAATAGATTTGATATAGTAAATATTAGTACGAACAAACTAGAACACGGATGCAATTCTTGTCTACTAACCGATACAATGGAGTTTATGAAACACTAGTCTGAATCTAGTCAAATGGAAAACATATAGCAGATTAGATGCCTTTTCTACAAAGAGATTTGATATTACAAATTTAGCAACACTCTCTACTCTACGTTTATGAAACACATTTTCTGCCACTCATGTAAACCATTCGCGATCTTTCCCCCCCCCCTTCGAGAAGACAACAAACAGATTGTTCTTGTTGCTTCGTAAGCAAACGAGGATTCTCCGAGTTACGCCGCTCGTTCGAAATTCCCACCGACATGCATCTGCAACCACTCTGGTTGCGATCCTTGAGCATATTCCCTTGCTGCTTGTGAGCCAAATAACATTCCAGCACCATCTATTGGATGCAAACCAATCTAAAATAACATACTCACATGTTATGATATGGGACCTAGCTCCAGCTATTCTACGATTTTTATATGCAAAAGATTGTATATTTGCTAAATTTAATTTACACATAAGTTCCCTAGACAGTGCATACAATCTCAAACATGCATTTTCTTTGCAGGATGTCAACTTCAAGAGCATTAAACGGCTAATATCGGAGTACGTCTGTCAAGTTCTGCAGTGCCATATGTATTATTTTAAAGGCAATAGTCAACATGATGAATAGTGCAGATTTAAGTTGGGGTGATGGCATCAATGAATAAAGCCAATAGGTGAGTTACATGGTAACACACTTGCATTCAAAAATGAAACAAAAGATGCAGAAAAGTTCGGGTCTATCAAGTGCATGCTTAGTGCACCTAGGTGCAATTTTTTAAAGGTGATAGACGTAAAAGAAATCCCACCACATTAAAGTTCTCTATAATTTCTTCACCGGTATTTCAGTATTCAACAACAGACATGGACCATAAGGAAACCGTGCATATCGACCAACAAAATTGCATGTTTTGTAGATAAACTAGACCATTGTTAGAGTTCATTATTTATCTTAAGCTTTATATATATATACACACACACACACATGCATATTGCACGTTACTTCACTCAGGCAATCACACATTCAATGCCTCGAGGCCAATTTAAGGGTTCTAGCACCTGGTGTGTGCCTTGTGCACTTCACAACACTAAAATTTAGAGAATCGTAACTGATTTGTTGGTTGAAAACCTAGGTTCATTCGAGAGAGACCATCGGAATAAAGTAAGCAAGTATTTTAGAATCTTCTTGCCTGGCACCTGTGTTAGAGGAAATATAACCTAAAGAATTTAAGCTCGGGCTTGGTTATAAATTGCTTCACATTTTAAATTCTGGATCTTCTATTACTCAATTATCTCACATAGGACTTCAATTCAGTGCTATTCATGATATAGCTTACGTGCTGACACAAATACTATGCGATATCAACATAAGCATACTTACATCCTTTGAATGAAAACCTCCGAAGCTAGGATTCATATTTATCCTTGAATTAACTGCTTCAAGTTTCATTGACAAGAACTGCAAAATTACATTCATATAACAAGCTAAGGCTTGAAAGGATAGCATAATATCTCGAAAATTGGGACATTGTTACAGCAAGATGTGTAAAATTCATACCTCAACCTGCTGCTGCAGTGACTGGATGTAATTGATAATCTCATCAAGGACAAGTGCCTTCCCTATGACCTGATTGAAAAGTTCGTATCAAGTTTCATATAATAATAAGAAGAGATCCTGTAACCATCACGATTTTGCTTGAGACACGGACCAGAACTGACCAAAACACAGAATAAGGAGTAATTGAACACAACTACGCAATATTAAAAACCTTGTTGCATCCAGGGACCAAATCCTGAAGAATCTTCATCCTCTCGCTAATACGCTCTCTCCTGGCCTGTAGAGGGAAAAACTTATACTAAGAACACGTTTTGAAAGGGCCCAAACCTCCCCGCTTTACCATTCACACTAAGACATGAACTAGCAAGACCCAAGACTCCGGATCCGACATATGTTTGCCGGCACGCAAAAGTTACATTTCTTAGTCTCAATATCAAAATTTGCAAATTCAATACGATTAAAGGTTAATTACTCTCTCAGCCAGACTATGGCTATCAGTTGCTTGACCCCTTCTGGCTCTGACATGAATATAGTCTTGCTTAGGCGGCTCGGCAGCCTTTCTCTTCTGGTCTGGCTTGCCACCCTCTCCGGAACTCGTCTCCACCTCGGCTTCTGGGTCCGCATTTTCATTCTTCGTTCCTGGCTTCTTCATCTTTTTTCCATTCGAATCATTCTGTTAAAATACTAAACCATAAGATATCATAAAAGCCAAAACATAAACCAAAATTAACTCATGTGAATCAAAATCAGCTCCAATTTATAAGAATTTTCAAAATACTTCTTTTCATCCTCAATGAATCGAAGACGAGCAAACCCGCAACTTTGCTTAAGCTACAAACTGAATTAGCGTAAAGTAAGCTGACAATGAAACAAAACCCACGCTGAATTCAATCCATAAACCTTAAATTAAAGAAGAAAAATAACTAAATGTCAGCATTAATTGACCTAAAATCCCAAAATTCCCCCTACCATTGTCTTATCTACCAATGAACTGAAAATCTACGAAGTAAAAAGAGATGAAAACGAGAATACCATACATTTAAAATTTTAATTCCAAACCAACAAGAAAAAAAAATCCCACCAATTCATTTGCACTACTAGTAGTAGAAACAAGCTTGGAAGACTCATCTTCAGAGCTTAATTCCTTCCTTTTTCTCCCACCTCCACACCCAACACTCTGCTCAGTCACAGTAGATTCCTCCATAGACCCATCTCGAAGACCCGAAGTCTCTCCAAACCCGCCCAGGTTACCCATTCGGTGTCCCAACCCACGTCCCGTTACAACAGTCGGGTCGGATCCTGGGTTGATCGGGAAAGGCCAACTCTCAGCAAGGCTATAAGCTGAAGGATTTGCAGCCGAAAATGATGAGTCATTTATCAAAGGAGGATCCATAATGAAAGACCTTTTTTCATAAGAAATGGAATGGGGCTTGGATCCAAGATAAGTTCTTTAGAAAAGGTGGGGAAAACGTGGGCTCTCTTCTTCTTTTCCACTGGTTAAAGTTTGGGTTTTGAGGGGATTGTAGAGTGAAGTGAAAGGGTTTAAGTTCTTCAAAGTGAGTGGAACTATTTAACGAGCTGACAAAAGGAAAGGGAACGTAAGAAATGAAGAGCGGATTAAGAGAGAGAGAGAGAGAGATCTGATCTTTGTTTGGAAAGGGGAAAGCGGCGATGCGCGGTGTGCATACTGTGCTTTTTAGCTTCATAAAATATAATATATTTAATATATATATATATATATATATATATATATATTTAAATTTAAATATGTATGAACAATTTAAATATGATATGTTAAAAATAAATAAATAATATTATTAAATTTTAACGCTACAATTTATTTTTAACATTTTAGGTTTAAATTGTTCATATAATAGTGCATATTCATTTTAAAACTTGATCCATATGCATTAAATATGATCTATGTTAGACACGAATTGAAGGTTAATGCTCGTGAATATGATTATATTAATGAAAGAATCTAATTGAGATTATGTTAATAAAAATATCTAAGTTTAATAATCTTTTTTAACTTAGTATTTGAACTTTTGACACCTAAATTTAAAAATATCTCTCAAATTAATATTTATTTTAATGTGATATTTCAACGTTCAACTTAAATTGTGACATAACATTGTTTGATTAAAAAATTATGCGATGTTTCGAGTTTCATATTATAACTTGATTGATTGTTTTATTTAATAAAAGTCGTTAATTTATTAAATATTAAATTAGAATGAAAGTTTACAACTATAATCGTGAACTAAACATATAATAAAAATATTTTCCTAAACATAAGAAAGTTAGACATTTAAGATCACGCAGGGATCATAAAGAGAAAAGGTTTAAAAAACCTAAGCAAATAAACTCGAACAAAAAATAAATATGAACATATCTGATTGTATCGACAAACGAACCACAAAAGAAGATGAAACTATTGAAAGACCACCGATAAATTGTAAATCAGAATTGAACGATGTGAAAATACTACATACGAACGTAAATTACATACCAAAATTCAATCTGTGAGACCGAAGCATGGAACATCAACCAAACGAGACGATGTCATAAAGGTAAATCCAATGCAAGCCTGCATTTTCGATTGTGTTTATATTATTAGTAAAGGCTGTTGTTCAATGACCACATAATTGTGTTTCCAAAATTTGTCAATTTTGGTTAGGACAAAAGTTAAAATCCCTAATGCCCCAAATTCGGTGATATTGATTGTTCAAAAGCTTGACACCTGCATATTCATAGGTCACTTTGTGTTGTGGATTAGTCATCTAAGCCTTATTTTTTGGCCTTTTTAATCACTATCTACATTCCCCACTAACTTATATGCAGTTTCACTTTTATTTTATTATACACGTTTAGGGTTAATTCCACTAAATATCCCCAACCTATAACCTAAATTTAGATGACTCCTTAACATCCACAATATTTTAATTGAACCACGCTAAATTTAAGTTCAAAATTGGCACGAAACGTCGATAACATACTTATCATGATTACTAAACTTTTAAAAATTATAAAGTGATCATAAAATTTATCAAGTTATTACAAAACAGTGACTATAGTGTTATAGTAAAAGTAACATAATGATAATTTTGTAAAACATTGATAAAATTTAATGATTATTTTGAAAGTTTAGTGATTAAAATGATAATTTATGCATATTTTAGTGACACCTTGTGTACTTTACCCATTTATTTATACAGAGTCATTTCCATGCCTTGGACACACCATCATTTGTAGAAAGGCTACTGATAGAAGAAAAAACGACAATCTGCAGATAAAAAAGAAAGGATTTTGCAATAAACCCAGAGGAGAAACAAAGCATAAAACAGTAATGGAGATGGTGCCTTCAACAATGGCTGAGAGGTGGATGACAATGGGTTCAACCTTAGCCAGCTTCATGTTTATATGGGCAGTATTTCGCCAATACTGCCCTTACGAGCTTCGACGTTACTTCGAAAAATACACACACACAATCATGGGCTATTTCTCCCCTTACATCAAGATCTCTATCCACGAATTCACCAGCGATCGCCTAAAACGCAGCGAGGCCTACGTCGTCGTGGAGGCGTATCTCATCGCCAACTCTTCCAAGAAGGCTAAAAGGTTGAAGGCGGAGATGAGAAAGACAACACCAACTTGGTTCTAAGCATGGATGAGTACGAGAAGCTGACCGACGAGTTCCGTGGCGCTAAAATATGTTGGGTGGCGAGCAAAACGGTGTCGCCGAGCTGGCCAATGGGGTATTATCCGGAGCAAGAAAAAAGGTATTACCGGCTGACGTTTCACCAGCGTTACCGGGAGATGATAACTGGAGCTTATTTGGAACATGTGGTGAAAGAAGGGAAAGAGATCAGTGTTGAAAATAAGTGGCATCACCGAAAGTAAACCAAACTTTCGGTGGAAATTATTTGGTGGCAGCATTTGTTGACATTTAGAAAGGGCTGCAGAAATTGTTGATTTTTCAACAATGGTAGAACCTCAATTTTAGCCATTGTAAGTTAAGGTATTTACAAATTAGTCCTTAAGTTTCAACTATAAATACCCTAGCTCATTTAGCTTCAAAACCATCCCAAAGCATTCTAGCTTTCTTCCAATGCTAGAGAGAATTTAGAGAGTTTCTTGAGAGTTGTTTTCTCCTTTTTATCAAGAGAGAATTATCATTGTTTTCTCCTTGGTAGATCGAGAGAGATTGTAATTCCTATTTTCTCATAGTGAAATTCTTCTACCGTCGCCCGTGGTTTTTACCCTAATAATTTTAGGGGTTTTCCACGTAAATTTTGTGTCTCTTTTATCTTCATTTTTATTTTCTCAAATTATCAGTTGCGATTTTGCTCTATCCGATAGCCGTCTTCCGCAACAATTGGTATCAGAGCTAGATTAGATTGTGTAATATCTGCTTATTGTCTTTGTGGTTGCCACCAAAAGGTGGATCCTCCAACATAAGAAAATAAGAAGTTATTACTCATTCTTTGAAGGTTCCAGAGAACTATTCACGATAGTGAAATAGTGAGAGCTATCTGTAGAAAAAGCTATGGTAATGAAATTTGATATTGAAAAATTCAATGGGAGAAATTTCTCATTGTGGAAATTGAAGATGAAGGCCATCTTAAGGAAAGACGGGTGTCTAGCGGCTATCAATGAAAGGCCGGTGGATTTCGCAGATGACATCAAATGGAACGAGATGGACGAGAATGATATGACAAACTTTCATCTAGCATTAGTAGATGAAGTATTGTTAAGCATCGAGGAGAAGAAGACAGCTAAGGAGATATGTGATCATCTCACCAAATTGTACGAGGCCACATCGTTGCACAATAAAATTTTCCTTAAGAGGAAATTGTACACTCTCCGTATGCCAGAATCTACTTCAGTGACGGAGCACTTAAATACACTGAACACCTTATTTTCTCAGCTTACATCCTTAAGCTGTAAAATAGGAGAACAAGAACATGCTGAACTTCTACTTCAAAGTCTACCGGATTCGTATGATCAACTCATCATCAACTTGACAAACAATAATGTCACTAGTCTAGTCTTTGATGATGTTGCAGCTGCTGTTCTACAAGAAGAAAATCGACGCAAGAACAAGGAAGACAGACGAGTAAATCTACAACAAGCAGAAGCGTTGACAACGATGACAACGATGAGAGGGAGATCAACAGAACGTGGCCAAAGCAGCAGTCACAAATATGGTATATCGAAGTCGAGGAGCAAGAAGAATTTAAAGTGTTACAACTGTGGAAAGAATGGTCATTTGAAGAAGGATTGTTGGAGTCTAAATAAAAACTCCAATCCACAAGGCAATACCGCAAACACTTCAGATGATGGAGATGCTCTATGCTGTGAAGCGTCAACCACCGTGGAAGGAAGAAAACGATTTGCAGATATATGGCTCATTGATTCGGGAGCAACATATCACATGACCTCAAGAAAAGAATGGTTCCATCATTATGAACCTGTCTCAGGAGGATTTGTGTATAGTTGCAATGATCATGCCTTAGAGATCATTGGCGTGGGAACCATCAAATTGAAGATGTATGATGGAACAATTAAAGTTGTTCGAGATGTACGGCACGTGAAAGGCCTGAAGAAAAATTTATTATCCTACGGATTGTTGGATAATAATGCAAGCAAGATTGAGACACGGAAAGGAATCATGAAGGTGTTCCGTGGAGCGCTTGTGGTGCTGAAAGGCGAAAAGATAACAGCAAACTTGTACATGCTGAAGGGAGAGACTTTGCTAGAAGCAGAAGCCTCTGTTGCCTCATGTAGTTCAGATTCGGCAATGCTATGGCATCAGAAACTTGGGCACATGTCAGAACAAGGAATGAAAGTACTTGTGGAGCAAAAGTTACTTCCCGGCTTAACAAAGGTATCACTTATTTTGTGTGAGCATTGTATAACAAGTAAGCAGTACCGGTTGAAATTCAACACGTCAAATTCTAGAGGCAAAAGTGTTCTAGAATTGGTTCACTCTGACGTATGGCAAGCACCAGTTACATCCCTAGGCGGAGCAAAATACTTTGTCTCATTTATTGATGACTACTCTAGGAGATGTTGGGTGTACCCTATTAAGAAGAAGTCAGATGTGTTTTCAACTTTCAAAAATTTCAAAGCGCGGGTGGAACTTGATTATGGAAATAAGTTCAAGTGTTTCAGAACAGATAATGGAGGAGAATACACAAGCGAAGAATTTGATGACTTTTGCAAGAAATAAGGAATCAAAAGACAGTTCACAGTGGCGAACACTCCTCAACAAAATGGAGTGGCAGAGCGGATGAACAGAACCTTGTTAGAAAGAACAAGAGCAATGTTGAGGGATGCATGCCTAGAAAAATCATTCTGGGCAGAAGCAGTCAATACCGCCTGTTATTTGGTGAATTGAGTTCCATCAACTGCAATAGAGCTGAAGACACCAATGGAGATGTGGACTGGTAAACCAGTTGATTATTCAAACATCCATGTATTTGGAAGTATTGTGTTCGTGATGTACAACGCCCAAGAAATTTCAAAGTTATATCCAAAATCCAGGAAATGCAAATTCTTGGGGTATGCTGATGGAGTAAAGGGGTATCGCTTGTGGGATCACACTGCCCGCAAAGTGATCATTAGCAGGGATGTTATCTTTGT